CCTACGCCATGCCACAGGCAAACAAACAGTTGCCCATATCGGCGTCAGGGTACGGAGGGTTCGACAAGCTGTCTGGATATGGCCAGTTCCTTTCGAGGAGCCAAGCAGGCAGACAAGTGGCTGACGCATCAGGTTATGGGGAAATGGACAACGAGACCCAGTACGGGCAGTTTGCAGCGCCCCCAAGGCCACACGATGACGTGCGGTCAACCTATGGGGAATTTGCACAAGCCAGCAAGTACGGACAGTTTGCTCCACCTCCATCTGCGTCAGGATACGGCAAATTTGAGAAAATGAGTGGCTACGGGCAGTTTGCTCCACCTGCAGCAGAGTCAGGATACGGCAAATTTGAGAAAATGAGTGGCTACGGGCAGTTTGCTCCACCTCCAGCTGCGTCTGAGTACGGAAAGTTCCAAGACACGAGTAATTATGGCCAGTTCGCTCCGCAACCGCCGTCCAACAATGCCGAGAATGCAAGTGGACACCGCCAAGGTGCTGCCGCCCTCCCAAACAAACCCATCCCCCAAGACCGGACCCGTGACAGAGGGAAGGCGGAGACGATTCCCACAAGTCATGTTCGTCCAGAAAACCCACCTCACGACCAACTAACTGACCCCCACAAGCCCCCCCTTCGAGCACCCCGCCCCCCTCTCAACGAGATTCAGTTCGACGATTTGTGTCGAAACGAAGGGCTTCGAGACGCGTACATTCGCGTGCTCCGACGCGTGGGTGGGGCCCCGGTGGTGGCATCGCTTTTTCAGAGGATTTCCAACGTACTGCGACAGCAAAAAGGCTCCAAGACGGAAACCAAGCAGCGTGTCAAAGTCGCCTTTGATTTGGTGGTATCCCGAGGTCTCAACATCATCTGAAGCTACAACCAACCATGTGTTATGTTAAGCGACGAAATAGATGGGAAAGTGGACAAGGATGGCTTGAGCGACGCCTTGACAAAGCTCTCCGTCATATTTACCGCTGACGAGGTACTAATTGTCGTGTTGAAATCCGCTTCCACGCTCTATCGTTAGTTACTCGCGTTGTTTTCCACGCTGGATCGGAGTTGCTCAGGTAGTTCTTAGCACACACTTGTCGTCAACGTTGCTTACATTATTGTACAGGACGTGCCACCGCCAGTCGTTTCGTTGATCGGTTGCATGCTGAAATAGACACATAACACGTGTATATTTTTCAGAATGACTATTTGAAGCCAACTACTTATCTACGTAGAAAGTTTGTCTATCTAGGTCGAATGTGTAAGATAAGGCAACTTCTTCAATTATTTCAAGTTCCTTGTAATAATACATGATATAAACACGCAGCTTCTTCGTCGGTTAAGTCGATGTCTTCAGGGGACGTTGAGTCGCCTTTGGCAGTTGGCAAAGGTTCCGGCGGTCTGGACGGAACCAACGATCGGGCAGGTGCCTGAAACGACCCACCCGATCCTCGCAATTCTGCGGGGTGCGTCGGGGGTTTGGGGGTTATGGTGGGTCGTGGCATGAGTTGATGTTTAGTGGACTGGGTGGGCTTGGAGACACATGATTTTGGCCTCAGCATTGTTGGAATTCCGGCGGTTGGTTGTTCCGTGGTAGGGGGAGCGGCGGGGGTGTGCAGCAGCATCGCATCCAACGCGTCAATGTCGATCGCGTCCGCATTGTCTCGGGGGTCGGTGAATGCAGCCACGGCCCTGATCTACGCACAGTTTAATCACACGAAGATAGGGCTATCAAGGAGCCATACGTCGTTGAGGTTGATGGGGGTGTTGGCGTTGTAGCATAACGTGAATAGCTCGTGGACGGAGAGGGTGGGGTGTTGCGGCTCCAGCCCGTGGTGGACGAGCAGGCTTCTCAGCGACGGGGTGTGCTTGGGGGTGCTGGCTCGGAAGGCTGCTCGGAGAGAGGCCAAGGCTGTCGCAAAGTTGGAGCTCGGTTGACGCTTCTTGGGGGCAAGCAGTGACGAGGTCGTTGATGCAATCTAATAAATTTGAATACGTTAGACAATGGGATCAGTACTCTCTTGAGATACGAACGGATACACGGGGGCGGGATGGGACGAGCGTCGAGGCAGCCGACACTGGCCGGGGCTTGGACACAAACTCGACTTTGTCGGAGGCTAACGTTAAGGGTACTTTTATCCATGTCGAGTTACCAATCACGATGTACCCTGCGTCGTACCGTGTTGTTTCTGGTTGTCAGAGATTTCATCCGACCGACGAACGAGCTCGAGACTTGGTCCGGCCAGCGATTTACGACCGCTGGGGGTGGCAGGTGAGGCTGGAACGATTGCAATAGGTGTAACATGAAGCTCTGGTTTTCGAAAGAGTTGGCGCGCGGATTGGGGTTTCTTGGGGCCAAGGGCCGCTGTCGCGAGATGTCGCGGGTCTTTCCAGCTCCGCCACCGCGTGCTTTGGCCTACCATGCCCTGGATTAGTTGATGCGATTGTAAACGAGGACAAAAGAAAGGAGGCCCCACTGAACGGTCTCGGCTTTGTGGTGGAACTGGTGGCTTGAATGGATAATGGGCGGGCAGCGTTGACGTGAGCGATGGCTTTGGTGTTAATCTCTTTGCAACACGCTTCACATACTTGCACGGTTCGGTATCTGCTCGGTTGTCAGTGCGATCACAATGTTCAATGGATACCACGTACAGAAACGACGATTCTTTCACCAGCGTATTGAACTTGTCGTCACTTATCGGTCCGTACGAGGCTCGAATGACGCCAGGCACTGGCAGACCCGTCTGATTCTGATTCTGAGTTGGGTTCTGATTGTTCTGATTCTGAGTGGGGCTCTGAGTCATGGACGCCGTATAACGATGCGCTGCCACAATGGCCTTGAATGTTACCTAGTATGCACCACCCATCATCCTTCACGTATCACGTGTTTCACTTATCAATATCACTGTCGAACGTACGAGAAACGTGGCCGAGGTACCAGGTGCCCCACTTCGTTCGCGGTGGGGATTTCCACATGCTGGACAAATGCGCGGCGCGGCTACGTCCAATGGCGGGGGTGCCGCCATGACCAAATGCTCCAAGCGACTGGGGGTGACCAGTTGGCACGGCACGATGGCTTCTTGGTTTTCAAACACGACCAACGATGGCCATAGAAAGTACAGTTTGTCGTCGGCGCCCATCTAAAGTGATATATCTCCTGATTATTCGGATGCATCTGATTCCGTACTTTGAAGTGCAGCACTTGGCGCACAATAGTCATGCCCACGGTGGCGGCCACGTGATGTACGATGTCCCGATTCAGGGCCGTGAGGGTCTGTAGCGTTGCGGGGTTGGCTATCGCTTCTACTTGCAATATAAGGAGCATTGGCCACACACAGATCCACCAGTCGTAAATATGTGGATTCGTATACTGTGAGTGCTGGTTGTTGGGCGTTCAAACGTGACCGCGCGGAGCTCAAGGGGGATGAGTCCATTGACAAACATGTGGGGGTTCGAGCAGCGCACGGCGGCGTGACATGTGTCGTGGGCAAATACGGTCTGCACCATGTTGTTGTAGCACGACTTGGGGGGGACGAATTTCTGCAGCATGCCGTGGGTGGACGACATGGGGCTGTTGAGCAGGTCCTCTATTCGCCACGTGTTCATTTGAATCAAATAGTATCACATGTGTGTGTGGAGCGTACCTACACCCGCGAGAGTCAGATGGTCGACCACAAGAGTCCGCGGCTCGGGGGATTCGGAGGACGTGACCAAATACACGTAGACGGCGGCGATGGGCCCCGGGGCGGTGTCGCGAAAGAAGCGAAGCAGATTGGGCTTTGTAGTTTTGTCCTTCTTGCGGCGAAGCAACTGGGCGAAGAAGAAAACTAAATGAGATGTCGACATGCAAAGGTACAAACCTCGCCGGTCTTGGACGTGAAGTACCAGTGGACGAGGACTCCGCGGTCCAGCAAGATCGTGTCGGGGATGCATAAGGCGTGGGGTTTCGTGCGGGTGTTCTTGAGCCAAAGACATGTAAATATATCGAGAGGATGCCGATCCAGCCGCAGCGACAGCGGATGCACTGCGTCCTCCATGAGACAACACAATCGATTGAATGTGCGATGATGGGCTAAATTTGGACGAACTCTAAGCTACAGTACTGTACCTACAGTATCTACTATACGTACGTATACAGTAGTTTAAGACTTTCCAATATATATGCATGTTCTCATCACTCTCTCAACGCTCTCCTATTCTCATAGCTAGTCCATGAAGAGTCTGTCTAATGGCGCATCCCTGGCAGTCGTTCGATGCTTCATGCATGATGCGGATTATGGCGGCAATCTCGACTTGGTTGTATACCCTGCTGTCGTGTATCCAGCAAATGTGTCGGTTACATCCGTCAAAATTTAATTGCTCTTTTTATATAATTACTACTCGAAGGTTGGTTGCATCTTCAGAGAGGATGGCAAGCGGCGGCGACGACGACGATGCGTTCAACCTGTTTGGAGCTCCACCAGTGAAGACTACCATTCCGAGAACTGGCACATCAGACCATACCGAGCTCTTCCCAGCAGAAGCTGCAAGCACCACTACCTTCTCAGGTCAATCCCAATCTACCAGTACCCTCGAGACACAACTACATAACATGACATGGTCCTCCGTAGATAGTCCGTTTGACCTGTTTCCGTCCAAACCCATAACTCAACGACGTCAAGATCTGGATGAACTCGACGAGCTTTTCTCCACGAAGCGAGATACCACGTCGTCGTCGCTTCGATCGCGGCAGTCATCGTCTTCGACGGAGGACACCGCACTACCTCCTCGAGCTCCAGTACCCGTCCCAGATGAATTCAAAAAGGCTGGGAACGCCATGGACATTATCTTTGTGCGGAACGACGATGGGACTTCCATCGGATGCACGCCTTGGCATGTGGCGTTCAACTACTCGCGGTTCCTTGCGTCTGGCGCTGGCGACCTCGTCGACGTGTATTGCAACGGCGTCCAGTTGCCGACTCCCATGTCCATCGGGGACAAAGGCCGCGTTCTGTTTCGTGCAGGTCGCTATCTTGTCTTCCATCTGTGCATTCGTCGGTCTCACGCATGAACTTAGGGTCGGAGCAACCAGATGAACTCACGCTGGCCGCGATTTCGTCCATCCTTCCCACAGACTTCCCGCCCCTGTACGCGACGCTTCGGTTCGAGCACCGCAAGCCGTCGACTTCCTCCTCGTCTGTAGTGCGCGTCGTGGAGTGCCGCATGTTCCTGTGGGACCCCGACGCCGCCGTCGTCGTTGCCGACCTCGACGGCACCATCACCATCAACGACGTCGAGGGCCACATCCGCACCCTCCGCCTCGGCCAGTACGACTTTATCCACGCGGGGGTTTGCAGTTTCTACGACCGTCTCCATCGCATCGGACTCCGGATCCTGTACCTCACGGCGCGGCCGATCAACTGGGCGGATGCTTCGCGGGAGCACTTGGACGCCGCCGAACAAGGCGCGGTCCGTCTGCCCCCCGGCCCACTGCTCACCAACTCGATGGGACTCACGGGCGCCCTCCTCACCGAGGTCTCGCTCGTTGATGCTTCTAACGCATGCGATGATGATAACGAAGCATCGTAACTTGCATTAGGTTGTGCACAAGACGCCCCATATCTTCAAAGCTACCGTGCTCAAGTCGGTGCACATGGCGTGTATCTCGGGCGGCCGGACGTCGCCGCGGCCGCTGTTTGTCGCCGGGTTTGGAAACCGATCCACCGACGTCCAAGCGTACTCGGACGTGGGCATTCCGTCCATTTGCCTCCTCGATCCGTCGTCAAAGCTGCAACCGGCCGCGACGGAGTCGTGTGACCCGTTCGACTCGTACGCTGACCCCCGCGCCATGCTGTGGCTCCTCCCGCGGCTCTCCGTGCCGCCATTGCTCGCCGACAAAGTGGACGCGCACCTCGCGGAAATCATCGTCGCCACCGACGAGTACGAGGCCCAGCAACGCCAAACGCTCGTCGACAAGATACATTATTATTGACAGATCACCCCCCATCCTCCAACTCATATATCCAAGCTATTGGTGGTGGTCCAAGGCCGGAATGCTACGTGTCTGTGCACTCGCCATGATCAATCCATTGCAAGCCGCCGGACCGAATGTCCTGTATCCATTGATATTGGTTAAAAGTGCATTTTGACCATGGCAGATGAACAAGTTATTGACATAAATGACCATGGCAGATGAACAACATAATGTAGTTTTGCCAGCTAGCAATGACAGTACAGTATACCTGAGCTACTACTAGAATTACTAAAGTTGCCCAAGAAGTTGCTGCAACCAAAACGCTGTGAACAAGGGCGCGGCGGCAGTACTTAGGATTGCTACGTTCAAGTTGCTGACTGCCAATGCTTCATTTTGATGGGGGAATCAACAACATGGTGACTCTGTCAGCTTGACTGGTCGATGGCGGGGGGTGTCACCGCCCAGTGCATGCATGCGTCTTGCATTGTCGTTCCTTGATGCTTGGAAGTTATCAATCAGCATGCATATCAACAACGATCACAGAAGCAATGTACATCAGTTTTATTCGGTATACACGGGGACAAGCGCCAACACACAACCACCACCGGGTCAACCCGACCTGCGTGCGTCCTTGTTGGCAATAGATATAAATTTCAGAAACGTTACAACTTGGACCCGCCCACCTCGTACGACACAATATGCGGGTAGCACGGCAGCGTCAAAAACTCCGGGAACGTTGGGCCCGTCAAAATGTCCGCCGTCACGTCCTTGGCTAGCACGTACTTGTGGTCGTCCTTGGCGCGCGCGAGGTGCTTGGTCGTGCAGTCCTCGAGGATATTGAGCACGAGATCCTTCGTGATGCGCTGGCCGTTGGCGGTCGACGCCGCGTGCTTGAGCCACTGCCACACTTGAACCCGGGAAATCTCGGCCGTCGCCGCGTCTTCCATTTTGTTGTGCAAGGGGATGCATCCGCTGCCGCGCAGCCATGCTTCCACGTACACCAGCGTCACGTCAATGTTCTCTTCGAGGCCCTTCATCGAAATCGACCCCACCGGCACCTCAATCAAGTCCTTGGCTTCCACCTTCGAGTTCTTCAATGCTTTGTGGATCTGGTTGGGCGTCGTCATGTTCGCGTCAAACACGTCCATGGCGATCTTCACGAGGCCGGGATGCGCGACCCAAGTGCCGTCGTGGCCCGCCACCACCTCCCGCAGCTTGTCTTCGTACACGGCCTTCATAAACTTGTCGTTGAGCGCCGGGTCGTTCTTCACTGGAATCTGCGCCGCCATTCCGCCCATGGCATGCGCGCCGCGCTTGTGGCACGTTTGGATGAGGAGCTTCACGTACGACGCCATGAACGGAGTCGTCATTGACTCCGCCGAGCGATCTGGCATGACAAACGACGGGTGGTTGCGGAACTTCTTGATGAACGAGAAGATGTAGTCCCATCGCCCACAGTTCAACCCGCTCGAGTGTTCCTTCAACGCAAACAAAATCTCTTCCATCTGGTACCCCGCTGTGATCGTTTCAATGAGTACCGTCGCGCGGATAGTTCCCACTGGCACAGCCAAGTAGTTTTGCGCCACGACAAACACGTCGTTCCAAAGTCGCGCTTCGCTATGGTGTTCCAGCTTGGGCAAGTAGAAGTACGGCCCCGACCCACGTTGAACCAGTTCATGGACGTTGTGGTAGAAGTACAACCCAAAGTCAAACAGCGACCCCGCCATGATCTCGTCGTTCACGGTCACATGCGCTTCGTCCAAGTGCCAGCCGCGAGGACGAACGAGCAACGTTGCCAAATGCTCGTGCAACGAGTATGTCTTGCCCGTGCCAGCCTGCGTGTACGAAATGGTGTGACGGACGGCGTCGCGTAGGTTGACTTGGCCCTGTACAAGCGTGCGCCACGTGGGCGACGTCGAGTCTTCAAAATCAGCCATGTAGCATTTGGCCCCCGAGTTCAACCCGTTGATCACCATCTTGCGGTCGACTGGACCAGTGATTTCCACGCGGCGATCCTGCAAGTCATGGGGAATGCTCGCGACCTTCCATGCACCGTCGCGGATGTACTTCGTTTCGGGCAAAAACGTGGGGAAATGACCTGCATCCAACGCGACTTGACGATCGGCGCGGTCCCGCAGGAGTTGCTGCCGTCGCGCTTCAAACGATTCGTGCAAGTACGCAAGGAAGCGAAGGGCGTCGGGGGTGAGGATGTCGAGGAACTCGCGGGGCATCTCCCCCAGAACGCGGACTTGGTTGACGCGGAACGTTGACATGGGATGGAGATCTGCGGGATGGCGCGCAATTTGAGGAATGCCAAATATACAGGCAGTTCCATTGATGGCGGACAGTTGCGAGAGAATGTTGAGAAAACAAAAAAAGATTTCGAAATAACGACGCCTGATTGGTTGAAAGTAGCCAATCGCTGGGCGATTTCGGGCCATTGGATGAAATCCACCAATCAACGGTCACGTGAATTGCCGCGAAAGGCGCGTCATGGAGTTTGTTCCGCAACTTCAACAACGGCCCGCCATTTTGCCGCGTCAACTTCTACATCAAATCGTTTTGTCGGACCTGTATGCTACGGTTCTCAAAGGTAGATGGCTTCGTTGCGAAGGATTGCAGGGGCATGCATGTGCTTCGTATGTGGCATGTATGATCCCAGGCCAGTGAAGCCACGATCGTACCGGTGGTCGTCGTAGGCAACGATTGCGCAATGGTTTTTCCACCTTCAACGAAGTAGTTACTGCCTCCTAGAAAGCCGCGCTGACTTCCGCGTCCCAAGTCTCGATTCTGCTTGCTCGTTAGTACTGCATGAAAGGGCCAGCGCGTGCATAGCGCCTATGCTTGGGCAGACGGCTCAACTCGCTGACCGTTGCAACGTGTTACTTGATGTCTATATCACTTCCGATGATGTTTGTCCTAAGTGCTTTACTGCTAGACCGTGCATCCATACACTATAAAACAGCGGCAGCAGTGGCGATAGATCGAGGGCTCGGCTTTCATTGAGATCTATCTATATGTTCCCCATCACGATGACGATCCAGAACATGTTGGCATGGTACGAATGCTTATATAAACTGGTCGACTGCCAGCTCGTCCACTGGTTCGAATGTCGTGGGCGGCAACCACAACGATGAGGGCTTGCTACTCCCAAGTACAGTGTCTGACGTCGGCTCTCACGGCGCTTTCTTCATCCCATCATTGCAACAGACCCAATTGCTTGATGGTCTTGAATTGATCTACGGCACAAACCCATCAGTCCACCATGTAGTTGTGGAAGAATGAATGGTTTGTACCTGGGATTTCCATGAGAGCGGCAGTGGCAAAGCCGACTTCGGGGTTTCTCTGGTTCAGTCGAAGCACCTTGTTGTACTCGACGAATTGAAAGTTGTCGAACCGACGAGCAGGCAGTTGGTCGTCAAACTCCTCCATCATGTCCCACGGCCCGTCGCCAACGCCCACCATTACGATCGCTGCAAGTTGCACTGGTCAATCAATACTCGTGGAATATGCAAGGTGGAAGGTCGTACAAAGGGGATAGTTGGAGGCAGCCACGATGGCATCGCGTGTTTCCTTCTCGTTGCTCACTTGGCCATCCGCAACAATGATCAAGATGTGGTACTGCCGGGTGCGCTCGACGATGCGGATGGCCTCTTCGATCACGGGGGCAAAGTTCGTCGGCCCAGAGAGCTGGAGCGTTGGCGTCACTTGGGCGTAACGATACAGCACTTCGTCAAAGCCGTGGCAGGGCTCGCCGTCAGCGCTCAAGCTGAAGCAGGAAGCCGATCCAGTCTTGGAGTCGCCAAACCCAAGCGCGGGAATGAGCTTGTCGTCATCGAATACCTCCAACGTGCGTCCCATGATGTGAATGACGGACTAGGACGACACGGGCGGAGTTAGTAGACGTGGTATTGTGTCACACGCTAGTTGTGCTATGTGCTTACTTGGTACGGGTTCACCGTGGCGCCCGTTGGGTCGATCGCATGCAAGCATTTGCCACCGAACGATCGTTCGCCGCTCCACTACCACGTTATACAAAATTAACTCATTTCCTTGCACGGAGCGACATTGTGTGTGTGTACTTCGTTTGATTTGGTGTAGTCGATGGCAACGACTAGGTTGGATGACTCGAGGCCGGCATGACGGAGCGACTGCTGCAGCTCCTCTAACACATCACAATGAGTACGATGGGCCTCATTGGCCACGGGAAGTCGTACCATAAGTCTCATACTTATCAGCGATGGTGATGAACGTGTCTGATGGTGCGTTCGCGTCGACCGCGAGTAGTTGCGAGAGTACTTGACCCATGGTTGAGATGTGGGACAGTGACAAAAGATTGAGAATGCTTGGAATGTTGGACCGGAATGTAGGTGCGCGAGAATTGTCTTCCGGATACTGTAATGCAATGACACGTTCCGGATAATATCCGTGTGAAAAAGGTGAAAATTGACGTCAGTTGAGAAACAGATGGGATCGAAACAAAGCAAGGCGGGGTCGGTCGCCACTCCGGTGCGCTTCCGCAAGATTCCGGACACCTTTGAGACTTATGGTAATGTACTTGCCGTGAAATCAACATGGATATACATGGGACTGATGGGTGCATCAGAGGAGCTCGAGAGAGCGTTGCGCGCCGCTGGTTTGGAGTCGTCGAACCTGATCATTGGCATTGACTACACCAAGTCCAACACGGTACCAAACGTTTCTTTGATCCACGTTTGTGAAAAATGCGGTGCCTGACTAGTGGACTGGTCAACGTACATTCAACGGCAAGTGTTTGCACGCCATTGACCCTACCGAACAGACGTGGAATCCATATCAAGTACACGCATGATGATCTCCTCCTCCTAGCCACGTCCTCATGTGAATACTGCCTTCTAGCACGTGATTTCAATCATGGGACGGACGTTGGAACTCTTTGACGACGATAAACTCATCCCCGTCTTTGGGTTTGGGGACGCGACCACCGGCGGCAGCGCGTGCTTTCCCTTCTTGCCTGACCAGCAAAAGTGCCACACCTTCGCCCAGGTCTTGGCTCGGTACAACCAAATCACACCCGGCATCAATTTGGCAGGTCCAACGAACTTTGCGCCAATTATCCGCGAGGCCATCAACATCTGCCAGCACAACCGGTCGTATCACATCCTTGTGATCATCGCAGGTTCGACCTCCATCTTCCTGACGATCTTATCCTTCTGGACATGTGCGTTGGTAGATGGGCACGTGAACAACCAGGACGAAACGCTCCGCGCCATCGTCGAAGCCTCGGCGTATCCTCTGTGTACGTGCTCACGACATTGCACTTTCAACTGAATTTCTATCGTAGCGATTATCATGGTCGGCGTGGGTGACGGTCCTTGGGTACTCTTGTATTCTAGAGTATATTATGTAAATATCTAATGTCGGATCATGTATCCTTAGGACATGATGGAAAAGTTTGACGACTGCCTGCCGGCCCGCCGCTTTGACAATTTCCAATTCGTCGAGTACGCCAAGATGATTCGGTACAACCGGGTCAACCCCGACGTCGGCTTTGCCACCGCCGCCCTCATGGAGATCCCAGGTATAGATCCATTCATTCCATGTAACTTGTTTGTAAAGGTTTGATGGGCATATGCATAGCCCAATACAAACTCATTCGCGACGCGGGCATGTTGTAATCGACGTGGAAGTAGTAGCCTCAGATGACATTCGCAATGTTGAGTACATAGTGATGGTCGGGATATGGTTAATGGAAAAATAGTACTTTAAGGTTTGTCACGAGGGATGTCTGTGCATGTCTGGCTTCTGAATATTATCATGTAAATCAACAAATATTTGTGATTTTACTGAACGTTGTACAGTAGTATATCATCGAATTTATGCTACCGCTGCCCCATTTACCCACTTGAAAGTAAGGTAAGGTAATCCATCAATATCGCGAACGCCATCAATATCGCGAACGCTTGTCATTATATCCAATCCAATGGCTTCATTCTGTAATGAGGGGTT